CCGCTGCACAGGCGAGGCCCCCCCCCCAGGCGAGGCCCCCCAGGTACCAGCGCTGCTGATGACTGCTGTTGGCAATGGAACCTTGTGCTTGGCTTTGCAGACTGACGGGATATGAACACATTTAGGCTCCAGATAAGCAAAATCCTGTAAAAAGTCATGTGGAAACCCCCCCCCTTCTTCTTTGTAGCTCTGTATACAAATCTTGGTATAATCTGTGTATAGTGTAAAAAACTTCATGCATAACTTATCCCTGTGTCATAGATTGCAATTTTTTTCCAAAATGTTTTAACTTATTTTTTAATGTAAGTTTTGTATTATTATTATTATTTTTTTTTTTTTAAACATTTTTTGTACTTTGTTCTGCCACTAGTTAAGATTCAGGGACTGATCTTAAATTTGCAGTCTTTCCAGTAGCCTGCCTCAGCTCCTCTCAAACAGCAGGGGGCGCCATGCGAGGACAGGAGTCTGGTTGGTGATGGGAGGAACACCAGAGGGGCGGCATTGGATACAAAAACAAAGGTAATGGTCTGTTTTTGCTAGTCAATCCCAGAAGCTCACCTCCATTCCTCCGTCCTTTTTTGATCTTCAATTAAAATGTCACATATTCCTCAAAAATTACTATTACTAACAATCCTGTCAATAAAAGGTCCTGTGGAAAATCTTGGTCGCCCTGAGGTAGCGGGCAGCACCCCCTATCTGCAGAGGTCTGCAATTGCAGTTGCACGCTGCGGTTTCCTCTTCTTGCCATTGCCCTGGTGGTGTGGCCTGTTGATCTGGTGGGTTTTGTTGCTGGTTGAACCATTCAGATGTCCAGAGCCCTGCTGACCAATGACTCCTTTGCTAGAGGAACGGAACTGTCGGGCTCCCATCTGAGGAAAAAGCAAGGCATGAATGACTTGCTAAATAAATGATTTAAATGCAACATAAATTACTAGCAGCCTTCAGTTAAAAAAAGGGCCAAAAATACATTTCCATCTGTAAATCAGCTGTTTTTGGGCTGGATATTAAGGGTTGTTAATGGTATCAAGGAACCTCGCACTTTAATTTAGCACTTCTTTCAATGCTATTTGCATTCTTAAAACAATCACCTTCATAGGAAATATATTTTAGCCTGAACCGAATGTGTGCAACAGTGGAAAAGCAGTTTTTCTTTATACTGGAGCATGATGTGCATTTCCACCCATCCCCACCAGGGGGCACTCATGGAGCATCCTTAGCCATCAGCTCATTCTGCTGAGGTGTGTTAAGCGATAAAGGGATTCTTGTTTGCCTGCTGCCATTAGGTAGTACGCTTCCTCCCAGGGCCCCCCCACCCACCCCTAACAATACCACACTCCTGGACAGCGCTTATGAGGCTACAGCATACTGCACAACGACATATAACTATGCATATCACATGTTCACCTACCTTAATGTACATTTAATCCTTTTTGCAGAACCCTGTTTGCACTATGTATGATGTCTTGAGTTCTGTATCTGTTCATTTGGTGTTGTATATGACGTTTCCCAAGGGGATCAGTATATGTAATTGACTGCATAAATACAAAATCATTTAGGTCATGGAATGATGCCATTTCCCCACCTTGCCCTTGTTGATGTTGGAAGGGGAGCTGGAGGCGTGACTGTGGGCTCTATGTGTGACCACACCCCCAGGAATTTCCCTGTGCGAGCTGGAGCTCCGCCCCGCCAGTTGCTTCACTGTCTTACAGGGCGTCCCATCCGAGTCCTGGGGAACCAATCATACGAAGGCAAACCCATGAGAAAGGCAATCATATCCACTTGGTTGAAGGCTGCACGAAAACATCATTAGCAACCAGTGCTAACGTCTGCTAATGAGCTGTTAGCATGACAATCGCACTGAGACCTGCACCACTGGTCCAGACAGACATGTGCTCCCCACCCAGAACTCAACTGAAACTGTTAAACTTCAACCATGACCTGGTCAAAAATTTCTGATTATCAGTTTTTGTTTGAGAAATGTAACAAAAGGCATTTTTATCCATTATAGTCTAGCCAACTAACCATAATTAAGAGGATTTTAACAACTGAGTTGCACAAAAAAAATTTGAAGTAGCTAAACATCTACCTAAAATAGTATTCATTCATTTAGAGCAGGTGTGTACAAATGCTGACTACATTATATCCACCTTAAAAATAATTTTAGTCTAACCAATAAATTGATCAAGTTCAATATTAATAGTAGAAAACTTGGACAATAACATTGAAAATAACACTATTGTTTTTAGGGTAGGGGTGTCAAACTCCATTCCACAAAAATGTGCAGGGCTCCGGCCCCCCAGGACTGAAGTCTGACACCCCTCTCTTAAGGGAAAGAATTTTTTTGTCGAACACATTTAGCATAACCATTATAGGAACACCTGCAATTAGCGAAGGTGCGTTTAGCAGTATTTAGCGTTGCCCCCAACATCCAGAGATCAGCAGTACTCACAGCATCACTTGAACTGGAGGCTGTGGATGATGAAGACGGAGAGGGTGAAGACGAGGGAGATGAAGGCAGGGAGGGGGAGGATGGAGCTGGGGACGATGAACTGGAGGGGGGCTTGCCCCGAGACTCCGACTCAGACATGTTGTTGTTGCACTTATCTAACTGCTGCGTCTCCACCAGCAGCGTGATGTCATTTCCTGCAGCACAGAAAACATCCTGTCACCCTCTGGTAAAAGCAGGAAGCTTGATCCCCATTTCAGAAGCCTACCGTTAAAGGGATGGTCGTTCTGCAGTGGACCTCCCCAACGTTTGCTGATCCAGTCCCTGTACGCGGTGACCTCCTGCGTGACCCGGATGATCCGTCCCAGAATACTGTCAGCAGGCGGGAAACATGAGTTAAGGCCACAATGTAATGAACAGGAGGAGCCATGGGCTGGCCGTGGGCCTGGGGCTCTTACCTCTCAGACTCGTTGTTGGGGTAGTACTTGGCAATGGGTGAAACGGCATGGCTGAGCACCACGTAGGCATAGTCAAATGCCTGCTTCACCTGCATAGCACCATACGAGCTACGGCCCACATCATTACCTGCACAGACAGATGGGAGGCCATCAGGACAACTGGACATCAAATCGACTCAATAGAGACAGCTGGAACATGACCTTGATTGAGCCGAGTTTGCAGCAATGCTTATTTTAACCAATTCATATTGCTTCATGTTGTCTTGCACTGTATGTTTGACATCTGGGTCAGGTCCCAACAGGCACATCCAGAGATCAGACCATCACTTCAATTTCAACATCTTGTACGGCGATTGGCTCAGCGGGCTGAGTCTCTGTGCCTGCGGTCAGAAGATCGCCAGTTCCAGTCCTGGCCACAGCAGAATACACCCTTACCCCCCCCCCCCCCTCCAGAGGTGTCACACATTGGTTGACCCCCTGTTTTCCGCCCCCCCTCCGTCAAAGCTATGGAGAGCAAGATGGGGTGGGCAAAGAGAAACATTCCAATGTACCTGTACTTGTGCAAATAAAGGACATATCACCATCATCATCCTCATCACCCTGTAAAACCCCGTCCCCCGACTACGTGGCCCGGTCAGGGAGAGTCTCACCCGGCTGGAGTGGGTCTTCAATGTAGAGCATGGAGGGCCGATACCCATCCAGCATGCTCCTCTGCACCTCATCCTTAGCCACGTAGCTGCCGCCGTCCTTCACCCGGATACCCGTCTTAATGTAGTTGAAGTGCCTGCCGTAGAGTTCGAAGAACTCTATCAAGAGCACACCCATGTTGACGTTGGGGCTGCAGACATCTTCTCTGTAGTTCATCTGGGATAAGGGGGGAAGCAAAGAAATGATCACAGAAATGTTGCAAATTCTCTCCTTGCGGCCCAATATTTTTGGAGCCTACGGGTTAAAACAGGGACCACTGTCATCTTATTTCTTCACACAGCTAATTTATGGAGCTGACGTTCTCAGAACAGCCACGTTTTTGAAAAGCACCATTCAAAAGTGCCATAACTTTGTGATTTAAGCAACTGTTGGCTACGCACCTGAAGGAAGCTGACTGCCATAAGGAAGAGGCTATAGGACCCAATTCCCCCAGTAAAGACCTCGTTCAAGTCCCTCTGCAGCAGAAACTGCTTCAGCACCAGCACTAAGTGGGGAAGCACGGGGAATTTCTGGAAGGAAGAAACAAAACAATCCAATGACACCGGAACACATGGCTGAAATAAGCAGGTATTCCCAGGAATGGCCACTGGGACAGATACTGACAAACTCCAACTCACTTTCTTGAATTCCTTGATAAGTTGTGCAGCTTTCACTCCATTCTGCACGTTGAAGCTGATGTCCACTTTCACGTCAGTGTAATAGTCTGTCAGTTTGATGATGGGCACCTGAACAGGGACCACAAATCAACCCAAACCAATAAAGGAAAGCTGAGACGAGCAGGAGGTATGGCGGCCCCGGGGAGTCGAGTCCGTACCGTAGCCTTGTCCAGCACTTTCACGGAGTTCACATCGGCCACGTTCCTCTTCCGGAGGGCCTCTTCTAGAGTCCAGAGTGGCAGGTTGTCCCATTTCCCGAAGACCACCAGGTCAATGTCGCTGAAGATAGTACAAAGGTATAGCGCTTCCAATCAGGTCCTTTTAACAAACTGGCCTACAGGACCCATTTCTTGAGGAAGCTGATCACCCACCAACTATTGTCAATTCAGCCAGCAGCTCTTAACAGATAGCAAAGGTGTGTACAGAGCAATCTGGCATAACTAATGGCCTTTAAATGCCTGTGGTTCCTGGCTTATCTTCCATGAAACGGTCCGTTATTTTGTTACCTAACAATCATCTTAATAACATGCCACCTTATCCTGGCTCGAGCAGTCGAGCCCTGAATTATACCGTGTAATTTCACCATGCATCTTGCATCAGTAACTCTGCAGGCCTTAAGACATCATAGAGGAAGAAAAACGCACACAACATTTTTATTTACTTTATCGCCAAACAGAGACCACTGTCCACTGCCTGTCGTCTATCTGTCCTTTGGACTCCCTTCACCCACCTGACCTTTGTTTTATGGCTCGCAGCACTAACATTCTGAGATGAGGTTCAAAACATTTTACCACAGCCAAAAGTCTTACCTTGTGGGTAAATACAGGCCTGTACTAAAACTCCCAAACACTTGTACCTGAAAAAAAAAGTTACACTACAATATTGATACTGCAACAGGTAAAATATACAACACATATGAAACAACAACATGCTCCGCTTGGAGTGTAAAAATTATTGACCCAGGGTCACACTTACGCTTGTGCTGAAATAGGGGCTTGGTTGTGATTGCACATGAGTATGTACATAGAAACGGAAGTGTGTGGGGGGGGGGGGGGTTTAGCTTTCACCTCCTGACATTGGTCAAAGTACGACGATATTCCAGGAAGTGGGTGGCAAACTTCACAGAACTTATCGTCAGACTAGAGGGCTGAAATGCATGGCCTGAACAGGTCAGTCACATGGCCGCACGAGGAGACATAAGGACATGTGCGTGAGTGAATGACGACTGTTTGTTTTGGCACTTACATCCGCACTGGGCCAAAGGTCCTTGATGACCCTCTGGATCCGGTCCACCACCTCCAATCTCATCCTCTCTTCCTCCGGACGAGGAGACATGTACATGAAGAAGTCCATGATCTCCTCATGCAGCCTGCCAGGCCAAGAGAGGGTCAGTATTATAGAGCTGGGTAAACAAGGAATGTTAATCTCTTGCTAGACTGGCCAGATACCAGTAGCAACAGCTTCGACTGGCAGGCAGGACAGCCACTGAAGTAGAGAGAAATATTAATGACACTACAGCCATTCATCTATTCAACAGGGTCCTAATAAAAAAAAGCAGAACCCTGAGAAGAATTAAGATCAGGCAAATCTACCAGCCTTGACAAGGGCAAAGGGGGATATCATTTACTAAGGTAGGACGGCCATATTCCTTTAAACACTGGTCAATCATACAGGGGCCACGCGGGCGGCTTGTGTTAGCACAAAAACAGGAGGCCACCACACCACACAAACTCTCAAAATCAAGACTGCAGTAGTCTAATCCCAAGATTCAATGGTGCACAGAAGGACTTAGACAAACCATAAAAAAACCACAAACCTAAAACTTAATGGACTTCACTGTACTCCAATTAGACTATAGCCATAACAAACCAAGTGATTGATTTGATTATCCAAGGATTTAGACAACAGAGAAAATTGCCCAGCTTGGTGCAAACAAAGTTCAAGATGTTAATCAAAACCAAGCTCCCAAAGTGAATGACTTAACAAAATAATATTAATAATAATACTGACAATAATAAACAATAATTATTACTCAAAACAGCTCATTTAAATCTGAAACTGGTGTCTTCACACGGCCTTCAAATGGTCTCTCAGAAGTGATTTAAAAAGCAAGAATAGCTAAATACATCCATGAAGCCCAGCATTTGTTTACCACTTAACAGTTAGAATGACTTCAGAGCCACAGTCAGCCAAGTTTATTTCATTAATCAAAAGATTCCACTCAAATTTGGGAGGACTGCTAAATTCAAATTAATGCTGCGTTCTGAACATAGAACCTCTAGGAAATGTTATTAGACAAAACCTTTAGTTAAAATGTTCGTACAGTGCCTACAAAACTGGAACAATTGGGATTTACAAAGTACAAAGACATGCAGTTTGGATATTTCCACCCAACCATCTTTTAACTGTGTCCCAGACTGGATCACAAGGGGGGGGGCATTGGAGCCTGTCCCAGGCAGCAAGGGGCACAAGGCTAGGATACACCCCGCAAAGGATTCTCTCACATATTAAGCACAATTACAATTACAATCTCCAACCATGGATGCACAAGGCAACCATGCCACCCAGTAACTGCCCAGAGTGTGTGAGCTGGTACGTCAAGGACGCAGCCCTGCCTAGTGACCTTGTTACCCCCCCCCCTGAAAAGCAGTTGGAAAAAGATGCAGTAATCAGTTATACTGTTTGAGGTTTCTCTCTAACTGTGAACGCTTGTTACCCCCAATAGAACTACAAATGGGTAAATTCAGAGCAAGGTTAAGATTAAAAGAAAAACAAACATTTTTACAAGTCGTGAATGAAGGGAATTAAAGGGCATGTTTCCAAAACTAGATATCAACAAAGCTTCATGTTACAAGTTTCCTACCAGGGATGAACGATATTGGATTTTTGTGATGTTCAATATGTCTGTGTTTTCAAACTCATTTAATATGATGCCAATACCCATAAATGCATCATTATTATTTCACTGAAGAGAACAACACTAAATCTGTCCAGTACTACAATTAACCTATTATTCTTTTTGTAAGAACGACAAACGAATGTATTGTTTTACAAATGTAGAGATTCACTATTGAAAAATAAGGAAATTATTTCAGCTTGAATTAGAAATAAATTATATGCCAGTGACACATTTTATTTAAGAAAAACAGTCAAATTAAGCTTCATATGCCGCTGTCTGTGAGCCACACACAGCACTGTCACAATCCAGTGACAGTGAGCTCTCTATTGTACAAAATAAATATTTTCAGGAAAGCTTCATTTTGATATTCTGTAACAAAACAGACCATCAGATGTGTTTTATCCAAACTGATCCTGCTGAAAAGCCTGAATCTGTCATGTCCCAGCCGAACAGACTACAGCAGATGTAGCAGTAACAGTACTAATCTGACAAAGGCACATTCCCAGAGCTGAAATCAGTAGGCAGATAATTGTGCCTTTGATTTTCTCTAAGCAAAAGGTCAAAAATAAAACCTTCCAAATATCACCGTAACATCCATTTTAGTAGGACCTAAAATCTCAGCCCTTATGCTGAACATAATCAGGCACATTACCTTAACAACACAGCATCAACCATAGTGGCTTCTATCACATGCTAAAAAATACGAGGCGGTCAAAGGTCTGACATTTTTCCCCACACAAGAGTGGAACAGTGATGTGAAATAAACAAAAATAAATCATAATCAAGTTCATCCTAAAAAAAAAAAAAAATTATAGATCGGGACAGGAAACCCACAATGTAAAAACTGGAAGTAGCTGTCCATTAAAATGTAATAAATGGTGTTGTTCATACATTGTTAAACAATTTAGCACCATTCCTTCATTTTGCTGTTTTTACAGGGACGTATACAATATTACTTCATTATATGATTTTACTCCATTATAAAATATCAGAATATTCAACAAAATCATCAAAAAAATAAAGTATGGAAATATCCGATAGTTGTAGCCCTACACAGCAGAATGACGTGGGAGAAATGCAAATTACACTGGATCTCACCACCTCCCGACTCACTGTACCCCCCCGGGCCCGTCTCAGACATCCATAGCGCCCAGTCCAGTGCAATGTGACCCCCTCCCATGTGCACCTTCAGTACGGACAGCAACTGCATTCAAGTCAGTCGCTTTTTTTTTTTTTCAGCTGGCAACTTCAAGCTCCACCTCTGCCCTGTTTTCCCAGAAGCCCTTGTGCCAAGGTTGCTGAACAGAGGGGATCTTGTGAGCCGACTTTTAAGGTCCATTAAACCTAATAGAGGGGAAGCAAGGACTGAGTATCTTCGAAAGTGCCCCTAAAGCATGTGCATTCCTTCATCTTCCAACTAACTTCCCGTGTGAGTGCATCAGGAGAATATCACTCAGGCTGTTTTGAAGTCTGAGCAAAATGCACTGAGGGGCTGCCGGTTTGGCAAGCATCAATGATCGAAGCAACAGGAAGGGGGCGCCTCAGAGGGTCAGCAGTCAGCTCTACTGCCCTTGAGTGGAGGAACTGAACAAGGGCACCTATGCTCAGTCCTGCACTTCACTCACACAAGCACCTCAGAACTTAAAAAAAATAATAATGATCAAAACACAGGCTGCCAAAGCAGCTTAACTGTTACACAGTATCTAATCTAAAAGTACAGAAAGGTTCTGAAAGTGTGAACCAGGCACCGTTTATCACTCTTCCCACAATATCATACCACCTAAATAGTGACCACAGGGCCCGTATAGATCACTGACATTTGATAATGCCTTCAGGAAAATACTGCATGAATAAAACGCAGGTGCATTTAATTATAATGATCATACTAATAACTACTTAATGGACCCAAAAATTAAGATTTGACTGTAAAGAAAGGGTTGAATCACCCTTTTGTGAAGAAAAAACCAAACACATCCCACGGTGCATTCGGAACCAAAAAGGTCCAAACATACTAAATGTCTCTTTTTACTTTCCTTATGACAATTTTAGACATTTCTAGTTACAAATCTGGGGCAAATGAGTTTATATTGTCCCACAGGCCACCGTGTCCACCACCATTAAGGCGACTGACGCGTGAACCCTGCAGCACACTGCAAACCTCAACGTACCTCAGCCTGAGAGGCCAAACAGGCTCTATACTTAAATACTGTGAGACAGGGGTGACCCAGCCTGCATTTAGCCAGCTGGAGGCCACATGACAAGGATGTGACACTCAGCACGTGTTCACTCAGTGAGTGATGGACCGTGCAGGGAATAACGTGATACGTCTCTGGCTGGCACCATCGACCTCCGACACAGTCAGGGCATTTCATCTGAAGCCCCTGGGCAAGGTGTATAGGTCACACTCAGGACAGAGGCCCAAAAAAGGACACCATTCCTGCATTCAGATCCCTAAACATAGAAAGAGTTACTGGGTGAAAGATCCAACTAACAGGCACATCAAGAGGGAACAATGCACCCGGTTTTGGAATCAGTCAATGCTGAAAACAAGGGAACCAGTTACAACAAGACTGGGGTACCTGGAAGCCCAATCCTTAGCAGCTGGACCTCAAGATCAAATAACACGTCATTTTAAAGCATAGAAACAGAGGGACAGTCTAGTTGCACCACATTCATTATAAGAACAGCCCACTACCCTTACAAAACCTCCTGAGCTGCTTTACCTTGTTTACTACCCAGTGCAAACAAAAATGACTCATGGTGGGCATGCACAGACTATTCCTGTACTTGGAGAACAATGGATGTGACACCTGTTAAATGGGCCGCCTTTGCCAGGCCAATGGAGTCGAGTGTTGGCAGTAGAATTTTCATGATAGTGGGACACATTCACAGTTCAAGTGTTCAGAGATTAGACAGGCCAGCCACGGTCAGAGAGCACCAGGCGGGGCCGCACTGCCGAGCAGAGCAGGGGCACCTGCTATAAATACTGCGTTGTGGACCAAAATAGCTGGGAATCTACACCTCTAAAATCCCTAACCGCCCCCCGAGCCGAATCCCATGAGGACATGCCCTTATCTAGCCTTAAAAGGGTGACATCATCCATCTGCTAGCCCGCCCATAACACAGTACTGGACGTTAATGAGGCATCAGGAGGCCACAGAGGGGTGGCCTCCGGTTTGTCATCGCAGACACTTCAGTTGGAACTACTCAGGGAATCTACAGAGGAAGTTAATGTTATATACTTGCAACAGTAAAAGAATAAAAGGACTCAAAATCATATGATTAAACTGCATGCATGCATATGAATAAAAACTGCCCTGTTATCTCATGTATATATGTGAAAAGTATATAATATGACAAAGCGGGGTTGATAGTCATTTTGGCCATTAAAAACATGCACATTATCTTATAATTGCATTTGATTGTTGTCCCCATTTTGGAAACAAATTTCTGGTCATGAATACGTAATT